TTAGAATTTAAGAATTTTGCAGAGTCTTATAAATTCTTGCATGAAACATCTTCTCCACTTTATAGTCAAAGTAATGGTCAGGTTGAGAGATTTGTACAAGTTGTTAAAAATCTTACTAAGAAATGTGAAGCAAGTGGTGATGATTTTTATTTGGGTTTGTTAGAAATTCCTAATACTTCTATAAGTTCTCAGATAGGATCTCCTGCTGAATTGTTAATGAGTCGTAAGTTAAGGTCAGTTGTTCCAATTAAAGAAGATAAGCTAAAGCCTGTTGTTCAGCAAAATGTTAAATCTGAATTAAAACTTAGAAAAGAAAAGATGAAACATTACTATGATTGGAAATGTCTTAAACATGATAGCAAGTTTATAAAAGGGCAATCTGTTAATTTACATCAAGACGGGGTATGGCAGAAAGGTATAATTAAGAAAGAAATGAAATATCCTAGATCCTATATTGTTGAGACTGATAAGGGTTGTTATAGGAGAAATTCTAGATTTATTAAGAGAAATCTCTATCCTGTTAAGTTAAATAGAAATATGTTTGATGATTTTAGTTTGTATTGTTTTGATTCAGTGAATAATGCTAATAATTTATAAATTAAACGAGACTTACCTGTAAGGTGAAGTTTGATTGTAATTCTATACCGTCATCTTCTTCAGTAGGGATCACATGAGATAAGCTCTAAGTCACGTGGTCGTCAGGTTTTAAAGTAATTGTACATATGCCAAAAAACATTCCCAGAAAAAACAAGGGAGGGAGTTTAAAAAACAGTTCTATTAGCAACCCAGGGAGGGCATGTGATCCCTACTGAAGAAGATGACGGTATAGAATTACAATCAAACTTCACCTTACAGGTAAGTCTCGTTTAATTTATAAATTCTATCCCGTCATCCTTCAGTAGGAATCCCATGAGATTTCAAAGCTTGGCATGTGTACAAAACATTCCAAACAAAAAATAATGAATAAACACCATAATCTAAAGTAATAAATGATGTTTATTATAAAGGATGCAATGTAAGCAAAACAAAAGAACAAGCTTCTCAGCTCTTATACCGGTACTGTAACCCCAGTAAAACACCAACTCTTGGCCAATTCAAAAAATCTAAACATAATAAACAATACGTATTATACATAGTTATAACATCAAATTTATCACTCCAGCCTGCAACATAAATCTAATCCTTATGACTAGACAAAACAGACAATGCAAAATCTGCATTGTGAGCTACTGTGTCATTTACAGTATCTACAGGCAAATCATAAAACTTCTGAAACGTCCTACAAGATGCCCAACCTGCCACTTTCAATAAAGCTGTTAAAGATATGTTTCTACTAGCTGCACTAGTGGATGCTGCCCTAGTACTGTGTGCACTAAAAACCTTAGTGTTAATGCCTGCCTGTCTGAGTGTAGATTTTACCCATCGTGCTATTGTGGATTTAGACGCAATAGAATATGGTTTAACTGTTGTAATAAAAAGGTTACAAATATTACCCCTTAAATTGGTTGTGCGTGAAATGTATTCATTTAGTGTTCTAACTACACAAAGATTTTCATTTGAATATAAAGGTAAGACAAGGACTGGCTGTGCCCTATTAGGCTTTGACTGTTTTATAACAGAGGTAATTGGTATAGTTACTCCCTCTGGCTCCCATATAAAATCATTCATATTTAAAGAATGCAAAGATTGACATCTTTGTCCAGACAAAAGACAAAGTAAAGTTACTAATTTAATAGTTAACTGTGATAAAGTCAAAGAAACAAGAGGTGAAAGTTTTTCTAAAAAATTCAACACAGTTTCCACATTCCACACATGATTATATCGTGGTAAAGCTGGGCGCTGTTCAAACACACCTTTTAAAAAACGAGACACTAAAGGGTGCTGTCCAACTGAGAATACACTGTCATGAAGAACAATAGTCGAAGACAATGCAGATCTGGCCGTATTTAAGGCACTATATTTTAAACCCATGTTAAATAATTCCACAAGAAAATCTAATATGTCAGTCACAAAGGCAAACACTGTATCAACTTTTCTTCTACAACAAAACTGTTCCCATCTCTTGAGGTAGGTATCATATTGTTTTGAGGTTCCCAATCGCCATGATTTACAGATAATGTCTTGAGCTGCTTTCGATACTCCTTGCATCGCAAGGTTATTCCGGACAATGGACAGACTAGAAGAATTAACTTCCTCCATAATTTGTGTTCCACCTGTGGGTTGAAGGGTAGGAACAAAGTTGACTTGTTTAACTTGACTTCCCTTGGAGAATCGATTAACATCTTCAACATTGTTGAAAACCAGGGTTGAGTAGGCCACATTGGGAGGATCAAGATTATGTGAGATATCTCTTCTATTTTTATCTTTTTCAAGACCTTGGATACAACACTGAAAGGTGAAAAACCATATGGTAAATGAAAAGATTTCCAACATATAGAAAAAGCATCAATTGCTATAGCCTTAGGATCTGGTTTCCAGGAAACATAACAGTTTACTTTATTATTTAATCTAGAGGCGAACAAATCAACATCAGGTTCCCCAAATGTATTTATGATCTTATCAAAAATGGCCTTATCAAGTGTCCATTCAGTGTTATCGTCAAAATTACGTGACTCTCTATCAGCCACCACATTATTTATTCCAGCTACATGACTAGCAGTTAAATTAATGTCTTGCTGTAAGCAAAATTCAAATATCGTTTTAGTAATGGAATTACATTGAGGTGATTTGCTGCCCCCCTTGTTGTTAATGTAGCAAACTGCTGTTGTATTGTCAAGCTCAATACGAACAGATGTATTGCGATGTATAGCACATAAGGATTTTAGACCAAATAGCGCAGCCTGCAACTCTAAGCAGTTAATATGCCATTGACTCTCATCAACATTCCACCTACCTCCAGTCGTAATATTGTCACATACTGCCCCCCAGCCTAATAAAGAGGCATCAGTCCTGATAAACACTGTTGGGGGTTCTATGATAAGTGGCTTGTAGGCTTTGACAAGATTATTAGACCACCAATAAATGTCTTTTTTAGCTTCGATGGATAAAGTCATACATTGTTCATAATTACCATGTGCCAATTTAAGTGCAGATATTTTTTCCATCTCAATATTCCTATAAAAAAGTTCTCCATGCTCAACTGCTGGTAGACAGGAAATATAAATACCTAATAGTTTTGCAACAGTACGTATCTTGGGTTTCTTCATTAACAACAATTCATTTGCAAACTTAATGGCATAATCAACTTTCCTTGCAGGAAGTCTAATGTTCATTTGTTCTGAATTAAGAACAAAACCTAAATGTTCAAGCTTTTTTGTAGGGGTCAATACAGACTTATCTTTATGCACAACAAAACCTAAGGATTTAAATAAAGTAACAGTTGAGTTATGTTAATGTTTCTACAGCAATTCTCATAAGAATCACTCATTAAAAATACATCATCAATATAGCCACTTGATGTAAGAGCTTGTTGTCTGAGAAAAGCAAAAATAGGTTTCAAAAGCTTAGTAAAATAGCGCGGTGCTGAAGCTAAACCATTTGGGAGTACTCGAAACTGATAAAGTTCGCTATTCCATTGAAATTTCAGATACTTCCTGTAATTTCTCGCAATTGGTACAGAATAGTAGGCATCCTTCAAATCTAGTGATGCCATAAAACATGAAGGCTCTATTAAATCAATAATTGTTTGAATCGTGTCCATTTTGAAATGATGATACACAATATATTCATTGAGATTTTTAAGATTTAAAATCATTCGATGAGAACCATCCTTTTTTGGCCTAATAAATATTGTGGATAAAAATTCTCCATTCTCATGAGATGTTAATTCTATAACACCTTTATCAAGAAATTTGCTTAATTCATGTGAGATGATCTCCTGCTCAGTTTTATTAAAAACATGCTGATTGGGTTTACTTAACTGAACCGGTATTTCTGTAAATTCGAGTTCAACCCCCTGTATAGCGTTGAGAATCCAAGGATCGGATGTGTATTTTTCCCAAACATGGGTAAAATTTTCCAGTTGTCCACCTTGAAACATTTGAAAATCATACTGTAACTCAGACAACAAACTGCTTCCATCATGAAAAGTGGATAAAGACACACAAGTATCTAGTGGTAAAGGATAATGAGACTGACACTCACCTACCTCTGTGTTATCAGACAATAAATCATGCTCACTGGTACTTAGACTTTGGGTTTGTTCAGACCCGGTACATGTATTTTTCTTCGTTTTGGTGGCGGCACACTTCGTTTGTCTAAAAAACGATTTCCACCTGGCCTTCCATAGTTTCTGCTATTTGATTTATAAGCGTATCTTCTATTCTTGGCTTCCATTTTATTGTAGGGGCTATATCTTGTGGATTCCCTGCTGTAACTTGAACGATCTCGATTCACTTTCTGTACAATCCTGTTGGTTTCAGAAATCTCTCGTAGTCGATCAGTTAAATCAGCACCAAACAGCAAGGCACCGTTCGGTCCTTTAATTGTACATAATGAACGGTAATTAGTGTTAACGTCTGTTTTCATCAGAACTCGGCGTCTGCCATTTACTTCTGCATTAACTGCAGCCAAAAGTGCCATGGAATCGGTGAGGAATTGGTGTCCATGTTTGTTTACATTGACAGTGTCAATGGCCGTAGCGCCCCCTGTAGACGTCATAAGTAACTCTGCCAACTTTGTAAGCGGGATAAACGCCTTCATAATGATGTTCTGAATTTTTTGAAGTTTAATGTCGGTTGAGCGTGTTTCCCCGCTCAGCGACTCCCAAATTGGCGGATTAACTTTAGTTTGAGTCAAATTTTGACAATTTTGTGGGCGTGTATAGCGGTTGAGTAATTCATTCGTCTTTTCTTCTGACAACCCATGTTTGTAGCATGTGCCAACCAAAATTCAATTTTTGAGCTACAGACCTGAAATTTTGCACACAGTTAGAAAAACACCTGAGAATCATTAATCTGTTTCAATTATGACAATCGGTTCATAACTTTGTTTTTTGTAGCTAATTTTATATACCCATACGTAAGCAGCGTTTTCCCAAAATCCGTCAAAAACAGGCAAAATTGAAAAAATAATATTTTGACTAACTGAATGACTTTGGAACAGACTCAAATTGTACACAGATGTTCTAGAGACACACATTTACTAAAATCAACCACAAAAATATTGTTTTTACCTTTTATTTTGACAAAATTTAAAGCAAATTGGACATATTTTGTTCCGAAAAAACATAAAAATAATAACTATAAAAAAAAATCATTAAAAATAGTGGAAATTGTTTTTTGATGATTAAATGGAAACTGGAAACATGTTCTCATGGACAGCTATGAAATATCCATGTTCTCGTGGACAGCTATGAAATATCCATGTTCTCGTGGACAGCTATGAGTATGAAATATCAAAAAATAAAATTATCAAAATAAATGCACTGAATCATAACTAACAAAACTCCAGAATTGAAGTTTTCAGTATAAAAATATAAAAAAACACAACAATTCAGCTAAATATCTACAAAATATTCTGCATATACTGAAAAAGTTTTGTAAATATGATTAAACAATACTGATAAAATGAAGGAAAACAGGCTGGAATACATGATACATGAGTTAATAATACATGAGTTAATATTAATAATCTAATATACTGTATGTTAAATAATAAAAATATTGAGACAAACAAGATGAAAAACAAGGTATAAAGAAGTTAACTACAGGTATTTAAGTTGTCAATCATAAAGTCAAGTTAACAGTACTACCGGTAATGAAAAGAGTAACACTGTAAAAACTTCAGAACAGAAACAGGTGAAAAACAGTTAAAAATAAGTTGACAGTAATAAATATATGTTAGCTATATTAATAATATTAGTATAAAGTAATAATGGAAAAAGTAACTTTATATAAATAAGTCAATAATATTAGTTAAAAGTTATGGAAAAAAAGGTAAGAAAAAAACATTGTCTCTTCAGAACTACTAGTAGACCTATCCATTTCTCAATAATTAAAAAAAAAAACCTAAAAATAAAAATATAGAAAAGTACTCCTTATTTCTTTTTTTTATTGGGCTTTATTATACCATACAATTCTGAGCTATGTTTGTTTTCGTAAAAAAATCAACTGCACAGTCTTAGAAAGTTAAAATTCTTCCTATGATCACTCATTATTAGCACGTGTGTAACTAACGGGTGTCTAACGGTACATTTGACACGCCCCCGCCATTACAATATGGCCGACAGAATTTCGGTCACATGGAGAAAAATTGAATTTTACCAATGTTCACGTCCACTTATGGAAATAAATGAAGATGGATCTTATAAAGGGATATTTAATCCATATTTGAGCAGGTTTTTTTTCGCTCCGCATCTTCCACGAAAAAATTTACAAAATTTCAAACTTTTCAATCGGAGAAAAAAAATATTCTTACCTTGCTACGAGTGATAAATTTTGCATGCGGAGCAACCTTGACCTCTTAACTAACTGTTTTCGGTTGAATGGAACCGGTATCGATTGCAGGTAACCAACACGAGGCCGTAATGCAAGGCTAGCTTTTCGCGAAAAAATAGTGCCATATTTGTGACAGCCAATTAAGAAAAAAGAGTTACGTCCCTTTTTCGGTTGGCACACGCTAATGTTTGATCATGTTATTTACCGCTTCTGCCAGACTGGCTTCAATATTCGGCCCACATACTTCATCAATATTATTATATTGAGAAAAATAGTTCGTTAAACAAACGGGATTTGAAACTTCTTGTTCGCTTTGACCAGAATGTGACCTGGGGGGCTCTTTCTTCCCACTACCAGAAACAAGTAATTGTTGCAATGCCGTTGTGCCGTCAACTACTTCAGTATTATTTACATTTTCTTCGTCGCTTTCATCTTGCTCGTCGTAATGAGACGAACAGTGCGAACTGATTTCATCTTCCTTCATTCCTTGTCAAAATAATAGTTAAAGAATTCCTGTTGATTTTTCTTCAACTGTTCAATATTTTCTGTTTGAGATTTTCTAAAATCATCCATCATTAATTTCATCGAAGACGAAATAGAAGACGATATTGCAGCTGCAAACGAATTTTCGTTCGAAATATTCAAATTCCTGTTAGGAAAAACTGCTGGTTTATTCAGTTGCTCAATAGAGCCCGCTGCGGCACTAATACTAGAAGTAGGCCTAGCTGCACTCGACCGGCTGTGATTTGACTTTTTCTGCGAAGGTTTCCCTTTCGAAGAAGGGGGTGTCGGGATCAAACTTTTCCCCCCAACAGCATTTGGATGCTTTGTAAGTAAGTTAGGTTTACTTGTCAAAAAATTATCAGATCCATCAGTGATTACACTGGTTTTATCCGAGCTACTTTTATTATCACACTCAGGCGACGCCATGACAGGTCGTGCTTCGCTCATCAAGACAAATGAGCGATAAAATAAAAAGATCTAAACCACAAAAAATAAGTTTCGTTCTAGCGGGTTTCCGCCGAAACCAGGTTCACCAAGCAAAGCAAAAGGTGAGAGTGGTAACTAAACCGTAAAAATGACAAATTATTGTCATTAAAACAAAGATCAAATAGACAGAATTGTCTGCTATGTGACCACGCTCTCGAGACCAAACGAGCTACTGACGACCACGTGACTTAGAGCTTATCTCATGGGATTCCTACTGAAGGATGACGGGATAGAATAATAATTATGTTAATAACAGAAATGTAAGATTGAATATGAATAATAATGGAAATTTAAGGCCTAGAAAGAGGGTTATTATACAACTAGATCAGGAAGAGTAGTAAAACCTGTTGATAGATTAGATTTTTGAAAATGTGTTTTTTTTTTCTTTTCTTCTTTTCTTTATGAAGGAAGGAGGATAGTATATATGGTTAAATTATAAGTGTATACTGTATTGGATGGTTAACTTGATTTACTTATGTAGTTTAATATAGTTTAGTTTTATAGTTTCATGATACTAGATAAGTATGTTAGTTTATAATATTATTTGATAAAGATTATATTGATGTCCATCTGAAGAAAGGGAGATGTTATGGTATTAAATAGTGATGATGACGTAAGGGAAATCCTTTAGGAATTCCTTGTGTTTGTTTCATGTGATCATTGGAGAATACACGCTGGATGCAAATGGCCGATTGATTGTTTGTTGTCTTTTGAAACCAATCCACACAACACCTCCTACATGAAACAACTATTCACATTCTACAAACAGGAAAGACTGAATCTTCGTTCGTCCACAGATACTACTTTACTATCTGTGCCTGCTTACAAGAGACTCAGAGGAAAACTATCTTTCCCTATAAATGGTGCCCATATGTGGAATAAGCTACCAAGATCAATTAGAGCAAGTTCAACTTTTGTTAAATTTAAATGAGAGTTAAAAACACACTTGTTTAAATATTATTACAAACTGTGATGTGACATTTGTTAAGCGCTTAGAAATATCACCGGATATAATGAAGCGCTATAGAAGATGAATAATAATAATAATAATTACACCGTGAGTTATGGCCCTTGTTTTGCTTGTACCTTGTAAATGCTCTAACGACAAAAGTTATTATCCGATCTGTATGAAATGTATATGTATCATTTAAATTAGTAAAATGATCAAGCCTATTGAGTTTCAGCAAATTTAAATTTCCGTTAATTACATCTAGAGTTATGGCCCTTGTTTAGCTTTGTTGAATCTTGTGAATGCTTAAGCGACAAAAGTTATCACCTAATCTGTATGAAATTCATATCATTTAAATTAGTGAAATGAAGAATCCTATTGAATGTCAGCAATTTCCGTCAATTACGTCTAGAGTTATGGCCCTTGATTTACTTTGTTAAACTTTGTGAACATTTGAACAACAAAAGTTATCATCCGATCTGTATGAAATTTATATGCATTACCGTATTTTTCAGTGTATTAGGCACATGCGTAGATAAGGCGCAGGGCGAGTTTGGCAGAGGTGTTTCAGGAAAAAATAAAAATGCATGGTTTAGGCACACCCTTCTCAGGCGCCTTGTGAAACACGTGCCATACCATATAATTAGAAGGGGTCGAACTCCCAGATCCGTGACCAATTTCCGGGGAGGAAGGTTTGAGGATTGATTCTGGTAGGGGGGGACTGTTCTGAGGATTTGTGCATTTTGGAACATCTGGAAAGTGTGGGCAACTCTCAGGAGAGGCAAAAATCCAAGATGGCGGCCGAAATAGCACAAAGACTTGTAGTTGGGTGCAAATGTCATCAAACTGTCCTTGTAATATGTCATTTTTATAGTTTTCAGGGTTGCTGAATCCATTAAGAACACTCCCAAGCCATTTTGATGCACCCATATCCCAATATGGCGGAAATCTGGCAGAAATGGTGGAAAAAAACGGAAAATAATGTCATATATACTGGTATGGCAAATATGGGCTTGTAGTATATCGTTTTTAGGGTTTTCATGGATGCTTAGTTCTATTTTGATGGTCTCATGTCAATGAAATCTACATTAGATGTTAAATATGAAACCAAAGTCAGCGCACAGAAGATACAAAGATACGGAAAACATCATTATATACGTAATACGTCATTCATATAGCACCTACTAATATCATAATTTCTAAACATTCATAGGCATATACCTTTCACGCAAATCTTTCAAGACGACAGACTTCAATCAGAGTCCGTGTCAGAAAGTTCTGAATCTAATGCACTGTCAGACTCAGATGTGTCACTAACAGAGGTATCATTATCTTCCTCATCATCACCACCATCAATGTCTACCGATGATCTGAACTTAATGGGCAAGGCCGGGTTTATATACCGTACAGGAACACACATTTCCCTCTTTCAACTCTCATCCATATCCGAGTAGATCAGCTACGTTACTGACATTGTAACTTAGCATGATATATTATTATGCTTGATAGTTCGCTCTTTTTATGTGCTGTTCCAGTCTATCTTGATCAGGTTTTTCATCTTTAGCCATTTGCTAGCTCTACCACAAGCTACAGTTGTGGATTTTTTGTCATTATATACTGAGCGCCATGGAAAACGCCTCATTTTTTTTACCCAAATATTTTATTACTAGGTGGTTTTGTATGTATAATATTATGCAATACTATGAACTATTGTTTCACACAATGCTCCCAAAAGCAAAAAATGCCTGTGTGCAAAAAAAAAAAATTGCACGAGATGCACATGAAAAACCCAATATTCATGTGAAGCATTATGTGTGAGCCCTTTAAAAGCATGTTTTCAACTTAATGTGCAGTACATGAACTGTGAAACGTCAATCTGTCGTAATTTGTTGTTGGATGTGTGAAGGAATCGAGCTCTAGATGCCAAGACTTAGTGAAAATCAACGGAATGAAGCCATGGGAATGTCCAGGGCTGGCATGTCTACACGTGCTATTGCCAGACACTTCAATTGTCATCAGTCCACTATTGTAAGGTTGGTGGAACGTGTTCGAGTTACTGGATCAACACGTGACTGTCAACGTCCTGGTCCACAACGCGTTACAACCCTTGCTCAAGAACGCTACATCCAGGTCACTCATCTGCGTGACAGATTCTTCCCAGCGACTCGAACAGGTGCAGCAGTCGTCGGAAGACAAGGACCAGTAAGTGCCAACACCGTAAGACATCGTCTAAGAGAAGTAGGACTCTGTGCACGACGACCTTATGTTGGAGCTATCCTCAGGGATAATCATCGTCAGCGGCGTTTGATATGGGCTCAAAGACACCAGACATGGAGAAGAGTAGACTGGCAAAGTGTGCTCTTCAGTGATGAGAGTCGCTTTCATCTTTATCACGCTGATGGCCGTCAACGTGTGTGGAGACGTCTTGGGGAACGTCTTGCAGACTGCTGCGTCTTCAAAACGAATAGATGGGATGGGGGAAGTGTAATGGTGTGGGGAGGCATCACATTTCATCATCTGACCGCCCTACACATTTGCAGGGGTCGCGTTAATGCTGTAGACTACCGTGATGATGTCTTGCAACCAATTGTTGTTCCGATGTTTCAAGCACACCCACAACTTCAGCACTTCCAACAGGATAATGCATGTCCGCATACTGCTCGTTTTAGTATGGACTACCTGGCTGCTAACAACATCATTGTCTTCGACTGGCCAGCCATGTCTCCGGACATGGCACCGATAGAACATGTCTGGGATGAGATTGGACGCCGTCTGTATCGGAGACCACAGATGCACACCATTGCTGCTTTAGAAGCTGCTCTTGTCTAAGAATGGAACAATTTGACCCAGGCCTTCTTTCAAACATTGGTAAATTCCATGCGACGTTGCTGCACAGCGTGCGTAAGAGCCCGTGGAGGACACACACGCTACTGACATCTGTGTTGTACTTTTGGTTTTGACCCCTCTGACTTTGTACCGTTGATTACAGATTAAACATCCATAAGTGTACAAATGTGTTGTTATTGATGTGTTCCCATTTGAATATTGTTCACAATAAGAAGCAAAATAAATAAGATATGTTTACAGGATCATTTTGTTATACGAAAAACTAAGTGATGCGTTTTTCATGGCGCTCATAGATACATCTCAGCACAAATTGTTCCATGGAGGCTACCAGATTATCGGATACAGTTAATGCGACACCTAAACCATCTAACAATGATGCATCTGCACTAAACGTGGTCTTTTTGGAATGCCCAAAAAATCCCGACACTGTATCATAACCGGTTATTGAGTGGAACTGTACGATATGTAGCTACTCATGTGGCAGTAATCTTTGTGCATCAGATGGACCTTGTACCTATTACGATTCCAAATAGTTGCATTGCTCTTTTGGACATGGGCATGTACTGGCGAATAGCGATTTCATCGACAGAAGACAGACGGAAAGCAGATGGTAGTGTATACACATGGTATGATTATGCAGGGAAAATTTTCAATCTAGCTTTGAAACGACACCCAAAAGCGAAAAC